GCAGAGCACATAACCAAGATGTGAACTCTTTGGGACTAATCTCATCTCGCAAAACTTCTGAAGCTGTTGATATTCTCAAGCTTATGTCAACAACGTTCCTCGTTGCGATTTGTCAAGCTGTGGATTTGAGACATTTGGAGGAGAATCTGAAACAGACTGTGAAGAACACTGTTTCTCAAGTGGCCAAGAAAGTTCTTACTACTGGTGTCAATGGTGAGCTTCATCCTTCTCGCTTCTGCGAGAAGGATTACTCAAAGTCGTGGACCGTGAACAAGTCTACACATATGCGGATGATCCTTGTAGCGCAACGTACCCGTTGATTCAGAAGCTAAGACAAGTTATAGTTGATCATGCTTTGATCAATGGTGAGAGTGAGAAGAATGCAGTGACTTCAATCTTCCATAAGATTGGAGCTTTCGAGGAGGAGCTTAAAGCGGTGCTTCCGAAAGAAGTGGAGGCAGCAAGAGCGGCATACGACAACGGAACATCAGCTATCCCGAACAGGATCAAGGAATGTAGGTCGTATCCTTTGTATAGATTCGTGAGGGAGGAGCTTGGAACAGAGCTTTTGACCGGAGAGAAAGTGACGTCGCCCGGAGAAGAGTTTGATAAAGTGTTCACGGCGATTTGTGAAGGTAAAATCATTGATCCGATGTTGGAATGTCTCAACGAGTGGAACGGAGCTCCCATTCCTATATGTTAAGAGTAAAGTCCTATGTTTTTTTTCTTACCATAAAGTCTTTTTTTTTTTTTTTTTTTACATGTCTGAATAATTTTACCAAATGATTGTCTGTGAAGTGGTTTTATGTCTGTCTAATTTAAATTTGTGTGTAAAACTCATTGTAAGTTCTCAAATGAACAATTTTTCTTTTACTACAAAATGTGTGAATCATACCTTTCTTTTTTCTCATTTCCACCATAGCAAACATCGGATAAGAAAATGTTTATCAACTCTAACGCAATCATCTAAACTAGGTCTTAACTCTAAATGGAACTATCATTTTTTTGTTGTTGTTGTTTGGCAGCACTTATAGGAGTTTCTTTATTTAAAATTACCTCAAATTACTCAATGTTATTCGTAGTAAGTTACCAGCTGAAACTAATCGAAATATTTTGTTGAGGTTTACACCTCTCAAAGCCTCAAGCTTTATGTCATCAAAACCAAAACGGAAACAGAGCAAGCAAAATATGGAGAAGAAGAAGAAATATAACAGAGCAGAGGAAAGGAAGAAGAGGAGCACACAAGCATTTGTTCACCCGGTTCACGGTGTTAACGAACCGCTACGTCCGGTTAGGATCTTTCGATCCACATCCTTCACTATGAAGAGAAAGAGGGTGACTACAAGATATACAAGTGAATGCCTTAAACTCTCACTACACTCACTTTGGCTCTCATCTTTGCTACTTGAGAAACTACCCCAAAGCTTACACTCTTACATGTTTCTCTCACCCCTTTTGATCTTAACTCCATAGATCTACATTGCTTGTGCTTTCTCTTGCTCTCTCTTACATCTTCTCAAATGAACCCAAATCACCTTTTATAGTGACAACACAACTAGGGCTTCATGTGCAAAAGCAAACCTTAAAGGTTGCATCTTGAAAACGCTTGATGTGCGTTTTGTCCCTTCACCAATCAAGCCTTAATGACAAAGCACAAGGAGACAAGACTGTACTATCTTGTGCCAACATTTGAACCAACAATATTTGTACCAACGTGGACACTCCTCTTTGTGGTTCAAAAGCACTTAACTCAACCCAAGTTCAATTCACATTAACTTGAGTTAGTTCTTAACTTGCTCATCAAGTTCACATCTTCACATATTTGAACAAGAATCTAACACAAGATCGGATTAAATATGCTGGTGGTAATAACAAGGGTCATGATCTCTGCGACTGGGCAGAACACAAAAGAAGCTATACTAGTCCTCAGAATCAGATATAACCTTCTGTTTCTTACGCAGTTTCGGCAAGGTAAGACCAAGGGTGAGGTTGACGCATCCTTGAATTTCATTTGAGATGACAATCACACTTGGTGGTACAACATACTTGCAAGGAGTGTCTATTTTCCATAAAAACATGTCGTTTACCATCATTTGAACTCTCTCAATTTTATTCCCAGGAACTATAATACATCAACAAAGATAAAGATTATGTAATGTAAAGAGAAAATGGAGCGTTAAGATAGCTTAAGGAAAAAGAATTCACCTTTGGGAAGGAAATAGATTTTGGCTTTCTGAAACTTATCCAGCACGTCATCCGAGAATGGTATCTTCTCAGCATAGGCCCATATTGACATCTCACCATAATAATCTTTAGCATCAAGAAGCAATTCGAATCTCTTATAGAGAAGTTCAGGATCAAGATCATTAGGGAATGGGAAATCCTTGATGTCCCAGAAGACGCCTACCCTAGGCCCTGAGACAGGTGGGAGAGGCTCTGCAAGGTTTCACAAAACAGAGAACGCGTTAACAATTATCAAACGAGCAATAAAGATAGATTACAATCGAAGAGATAGAAAGAGAAATCTTACTGGAGAAATCAAGGTTTTTTATGGTATCAACGGGAGAGAGTTGTTGATTGTTCATGATTTCAACGGGAGAAACTTTTGGCACTTCCACTGCCTTGTGTTTCTTCACCTTCTTCCTCCACCGCTTATTAAATGGTCTGCATCTGGTTGGGCCGACAGAAAATCTTCTATCGAATAAAGATCTTGGCCAATCTGAGGATTCGGGATCGATACTGTATCTTCTATCGACGATACACTTAGGCTGTACTAAGAAAGCAGAGTAATATCTCCCTTGCATGCCAATAAGATAGTGGGAGAAGTTAATATCTTTTCCTTGGGTGTTGATGTCATTTGAGATTACGATCACATTTGTCTCTACACCGAACACAGGATAAGTGTCTATTTCCCATAATCGAATGTCATGTGACATCCTAAGAAATCTGGCAATTTTATCCCCAGGAACTACATATATGTAAAGAGAATAGAGTCAATTATCTCCATCAACAGAATTATGTAAAGAGTGTTAAGAGAGCTCAAGGAAAAAAGGATTCACCTTCGGGAACGAAATAGATTCTGGCTTTCTGATACTTGTCCAGCACGTCATCCGAGAACGGTATCTTCTCAGCATAAGCCCATATTGATATCCCACCTCGATAACCGTTTTCCTCAAGAGTCGATTTAATTCTCTGAAAGATTGTTTCAGGATCAAGATCATTTGGGAATGGGCATTCCACCAGGTCCCAGAAGACGCATGTCTTAGCCTCTGAGGAACGTGTGATAGGCTCTGCAAGATTTCACAAAACCGAGAACGCAGAAACAATTGAGAATTTAGTTAACTATTTCAATGAAATCTAAACAAGAAAATTCAAGATAGAAAGAGAAATATTACGGGAGAAATCTTGTTTGTTATCAGGGTCAGTACGACCCATAGTTGTCGAATCATTTCCTAATGGATATGTCCAGTAACTTAGTATGGCTGGATTATGAAACATCTGGTCTGATACTTGTCTTTCAAGCTGAGGATGTGCGAAGTGAACATTGAAACCTCTTGATTTCAAAGCCCAAAGAACTCTTTTGGACTCCTTGTCTTCAGGGAGACTTTTTGAGATTACCATGAAATTTGATGGTTTATGTGTCGAAGCTGGTTTAATGGTCGGTGTGAGGAGAAATGCGTGGCAAAGAATGTCGAGTAACATTGAAATACCTGGAACTGTATACATCAACAGAGATCTAGGTTAGATACACATATATATATATATATATATATATATATCTATAGATACAATATATGCGAGTAGAAAAGAGAAGAGTGTGTAATGATAATTAAAGGTTTTAAGTAAAGGAAATCACCGTTGTGAGAGAAGAAGAATCCGGCTTCGAAAAATTTCTCACTCGTATTCAACTCCTCATTTTCATCTGTCTTGTCACAATAAGCCCAGATTTTCTAAGGCATATCACGATAACCGATTTCCGACAGAGCTGTCTCGATATTCTGATAAATCGAGCAAGGATCGATATCTTTAGGGATTGGGTAATCCTCGAGGTCCCAGTAGACGACTGTGCAAGATTCTTCACGAAAAAGAAAAACGCATAAACGATTAGGAAACACAAGAATTAAAGAGAGATTACAAAAGACCGATCATAAGATGATATCAAATCAAGCAATTTCGTAGAAAGGATCGGAAGAGAGATCTTACTGCTGAAGTCTATCATGGTTTCGACGCGAGTGAATTTGAGACTTTTTCTCTTCGGGAGATAGAAACAAGATACGAAGAAAACTCAATTAGGGCTGAATGGGTCGCTTCCTTGCGACTGACTTTTTAGGGTTAGATCTGTGACTTTTTAGGGTTAGATCTCAACATAAATTTAAGATGTGTGCGATTAAAAGATATAGCGAGAGTACACAATAAAGGCCCAATTTAAAAGCCCATAAGAGTCAATACAAACAATACGGGGGTGTATTCAATACGTTAGACAATCCCTCTTCTTCATTCTCATTCTCTCTCTTCTCGATCTACCCAAAGTAGCGGGAGCGAATAGTAAAACAATGTCCGATCACCACCACCACCACCACCACGCGCGGCTGAGCCGCCTCCGTACAACAACCCAGCTCCTCCGTCAAACCACAGCTTCTTTCTCTTCTCACCCTCTCACTTTCATCTTCCTCACTTTCCTCCTCTTCTCCTTCCACTCTCTCGTCGATCATTGCTCTCTTCTCTTAACCTCTTTCGTCGATAGTGACCCTTCTCTTCGCTCTCTCCTCTCTCGCCTCCCTCTTTACTCTCACTCCCATACCCCCACGCGCTTCCATCATCACCGACGTGCTCCGTTTCTTCAGCTCACGCGCCTTGGTACCTTAGACGACGACTTCTTCTCCACCGACGAAAACGATCCTCATCGCCGATCTCTTCAAGGCTCTTCCTTTCGTTCACCCATCAACGCTACGACTGTATTTCTCTCCGGATTCGAGAGCATTT